AAAGGTGTCGTTGAGAATATATATATATAAAACGTTGTAAAAGCTGTGCCGTTTTGTGATTCGTTTATAAAATGAAAAATTAAGTTAATATAAGTGGAGACTATACTGAAAAATAAATGTTACGTCGGAAAATTATATTTAATGAAATTAATGGTAAAAATGAGTTTTACGTTTTAGAAAGAAATTTAATATTTTATTAGTATAGGCACGATAAAATGGTATGGTCTCCGTTGATCAGCAAACATAATATGAAGAAACAAAAAAAACATAAATCTTCGATATATCACACAATTTACTATTGTACGCGTATAGAAACACAAGGGTCAAGTATACATTAAAAAAAAAAAAATAAACAAAAGAGCCATAAGCGATATTCGACAAGCGCAAAGAAACCGATTGTAGCGAAAAATAATAACCCCAAACGGTGAAGTGTCCATGCGTTGGTACACAAATATGTCGACAGAAAAATACACACAAGCCGTATATAACTTTAAGAAAAAAAAAAAAAAAATAAGAAAAACACAGATGGAAATAAACGATAGAGGTCGAGAACGATTTTTCTTTTGTTCTCGATAATTGTCGAAACACTGAAGACTGCAATAAATAAATACAATTCTGGCCTATTTGAATAAAAATAATGAAAATTAATGATTAAATATGTGAGAAAAGCGATAAAAGAATCCAAGTATTATTATGTATGCACGTAATACATGTATAGCAGCATTCGATTAGTCGGTAAGACCGTAAAGATTTTTCGTATATAGGTGTCTCGACGATTTTTCGATGCGTTGTAGGCGAAGCGCGCGATTGTTCAATTTATTTATAGCAACAACGGCGGAAGAAGTATGTTATTATATATTATATACATATAAACGCATCATATTATACATACGTACACACGTGGATCGGCGAGGATGTGCAAGTACATACAATTTATTTATTTTGCATCTTTGTTATACGTTTAAGTTACCTTAATTTCATTTTCGATTAGTAAAACGACATTCCAAAGATTGAATGATTTTTATTTTATTCATTTACCTTTCATTTATCACTATAACATGTCAGTATTTAATCAGTAGAGTGTTAAAATAGAAAAAAAATTGTTCAAGTTCTGGTTGAAAAAGTATGATAGCAGACGAGATGAAAAAAAACTATTAAAAAAATTTTTTTTGTGCCAATCGATAATTGTCAACAATACAGATTTTTTAGTTATGCAACAGCATCATGCAAGCTATGGTTATATAATAACATTAACAAAAATTAAAAAATTGTTAAAAAAACAAGTTAATCATGTCGTCCGAGTGAATAAGGACTAATCGAGCTACTAGGAAAAAAAAGTATGAGACAGTATAGGCGGGGGGTGATAAATTAAGGGTACACATGAGGAGTATTCGGGACCCTTCGTGAATTTTTCAATTCTTAAATAGAGTTTACAATATGTGTGCGCCGTTGAAAGTTAAGAAAGTAAAAGGATTTTGCTTTGTTTTAGTGTCGGTAAATTTTTAATTACTACGTTAAAAAAACAAAAAACTTCTAATTAAAATTAATACAATTGACGTTAAATGTACTACTTTGTTAGAAAAATATATCCTGTCAGGTGATTGAAAAAAAACCCCAATCTATAGGTACAAACATGTCTTTAGTTAAAATCTATAGGTACATAAATATATATATATAAATTTCATGATTAAAAAAAATAAAAAAAATGAAACAAACGTAAAAAAAAAAGATAAAGAAAAGAAAAGTGTATTCAGTGAGAAAAAGTTCGAAATTATGTAGAAACA